AGAAAAAAGTATCTGTTATTGGACTGTTTAGAAGAAATTCAATATGATTTCGGAAGTATACCTCATGAGGATAGGCCTACGTATACATGACCATAACCGAAACACCTCGTTTAGCATAAGAAACACAGACCAGATCTGGATTTCTATTCTAAAAATACACACACACAATAATTATACTAAAAGCATGGAAATGTGAATGTCTTAAAAAATATGAAAATAAAATCTGAAAAAAGAAATATGTATCATATGCTGAGTATACCAGCTCCAAATTACTCTAAATATATGCACATAGAAAATGGAATTAATTACGAAGAATTATAATAAGATATACTGGATTGGTCCTGGACCTGATTGATTTTAATATAGGTTCAAGTTAATTTACGCTTCGGTGTACAGGAATGGTTGTATTTTTTGTTTTTGTTTGAGCTGGACATGCTGTAAGGTACAGATGATGAAAAATGCACCATTTCATAAAACGGTGAGTCAAAACGATTCATAAAAGATTAACAAAGGTGTCTTTTTGGGGAGGGATACATTGCTGACATGACTCCATGAGCGTCGGAAAAAGTCAGAGGGTATTTACGATCTTTAAAAGAGATTTTATAACAAGTACATATACAAGTATGTATGTTAAATAAAAGTGTTGTAAATGGAGATATGGGAGATTCAATAAGACTGCAACTGGCCAATTAACGACACACAATGCAAAAACCAAAGACATCTAGATAACACAGGACAAATGCAGGATGGACGAGAATTTTTATACTGCTAATTTGTAGATTTAGAAAAGATAATTTGGTCCCTTGAATTTGAAAGTTAATAAGTATATTAACTATAGTAAGTATAAAATCTATCAAATGATAACATCACAAGTTCACAACATTAGTCATATTAATTATAATGCAAACATATGTCAATCTCATAAGGTACAAATTTTTTAGTCTTTAAACAACTCGTATTTCAGAAGAAAACTCAAACCATTATGAAATAAGAAGATGTAGTGCCTATGAGACATCTTTCTATCAAAGACAATATTATGTTTTGTCACAAAATGCCTTTTAAAATAGACCATCATCAGATACGCTTAATATATATTTGGATCCCGAATGCATACTGTTTTACCTGTGTCCGTATGACTGCCCGTCCCTGACTTGGTATATATAACTGAGGGTTTATTCAGTTTATTCCTTATTGCTAAGTTTTTAAGATTCAACTTTAAATTATGTACCAGGTGTTAGTATATATACCAAAAGTGCGCATATTGTCAGGATTTTTGTTTGTTTTTTGTTTTAAATGTCAGGTTGCTTAATTTGGCATTTTGATAATATATAAATGCACGCAGAATACATAGCCCTGCTTACTCCTTCTACGACTACATGTACAATATCAAGCTTGGACTTTTATATTGCGCCGAGTGTTTTACTTATATAGAGGGTGCATATATATTCTCAGGATTTTATATTGTATAATTTTTCACGAATGACAGAATGTTGAACTTTGTCTTTTCAAGTGAAATTTTGAATACAATTTGTAAGGTGCCTTTATATATTATCAAAATGTTAAAATGAGCAAACTCATTAAAAAAAAATCACACGTTTACACCATACAGTATACTTGATTAAGAATATGTATTTCATCAAGATATTGTTTGTATCTATCATTTTTACAACTAACAGAATGTTTAACCTTTTTTGATGGTTGCATTAAATGTGTCTTTTAAACACAACTATTTCTAATTGTATTGAATTGTCCTAAACATGCATGAAATATTTGACACACGGAAGTTGCGGTGGCATCACCCTAGTCTTATTTGGCTAGTAGGGTTAAGTTGAAGATTTGAATTTCCTTATAAGCTAATTATGCACCCGGTTAGGACGAAATGTAAGTAACTGGACAGGGGAAATGAAAACAAAATAACAAACACCATTCAGATCCCGTTACATATTTCCATACCTCTCCGTAAAAATAACGTTATTTGATGTGCAGAAGCGTGATCCCTTTTCTGTCAAATTCTTTGCATATTGGTCAACTTTGACGCAATTTATCTAAAAAACAGGGATGGTAACATGTTTGTTTCTAAAAATGCACAGATTCAGAATACAATCATTGATATTCTGTTAGTTTTTAGCCTTTCTCCGTATATAAGAGATCGTAATGATTGAAAAAGTGACGACGCTTGGCGTATTTATGAGGTTGTTTTCATTAAGCCTACTATGACATTTATTAGCACTTTCTTCAAGCTTTGTATTATCTAATTTAATAAAATAATCAATTTCCGACTCACTTTTATTATTTTTTTTTAAACATTTTTGTCTCCCTTATCTACCCCTTTTCTCCTTTCTCCCGCCCCCTCTCTCCTTTCTCCCACCCATTCTCTCCCTGTCTCCCTTTACCCTGTCCGCCCCCTCATTAATAGTGTGTTCAATTACAGGAACAACAAACATTTCCCTTCACATAGCGCTTCAATCCCAAAGAATTGCTGTCTTTGTCCTATTAGAATAGAAATAATTCATGTGGGCTTGAATTCATATTGATTTTAATAAGGGTTGGCTCTTTATGCTGATATTTTTCCCCTAGCTGTCGCTCGTGTAAAGTATTTAGCATAAAGGGCCAACCCGTGGTAAAATCACAATAAATTCAAGCCCCCCATGAATTATTTCTTAATTCTAACATGACGTTCTTCAAACGCTTTGAGTACACACCCGTGGTAAAATATGAATATATTGTTTGGGCTGTTCCGATCGTACTCCCGCGTCATATGCTTTTTTATGAATGAGCTACTCGACGTCATAGAACGATGAAGTAAGAATATAAGCATTTTACGGGAAAATACACGCTTGTGAAACCGAAAATCATCACAACAAGGAAACGTAAAAACAAACGATGCTAAAATGTGTTATATAAGCCATGTTTTGTTTCCATATAAGATATATAAATACTATTATCATTTAGATTCATTCAAACCTATCTAAATATGTCATTGTAAATAGTTTAAGCATGCCATTTATTCAGTTTGCTCCGTTCTTTTACGTCAATTTAATAATGCGTTTATTTATGGGAACGGCAAATAATGCCTTCACCTAGAGCGCTTCGATCCAAAAGAATTGCCGTATTTGTCCTATTAGAATCGAAATAATTCATGGGGGCTTGAATATATCGTGATTTTACCACGGGTTGTCCCTTTATGCCGATATTTTACCCCTCGCTATCGCTCAGGGTAAAATATTTGTCATACAGGGCCAACCCGTGGTAAAATCACGATATATTCAAGTGATTTTACCACGGGTTGTCCCTTTATGCCGATATTTTACCCCTCGCTATCGCTCAGGGTAAAATATTTGTCATAAAGGGCCAACCCGTGGTAAAATCACGATATATTCAAGCCCCCATGAATTATTTCTTAATTTTACCTGTTATTAATTGTTAATTGTTTATTCTAATATGACGTCCTATTATCGTCAACCAGTATAATCACAATATATCTACCTTTAGCGCAAACGCAGTAATACACAAAAACGGCTGTTCCGCGTTACGACCAACTTATTTATACTACCAAATATTCTCAATTTTCTACATCAAAACCCCAAGTTTACGTAGGCCAAGATTCAGATACAATATATTTATCTCTATTCTACAGTAAAATAAACAAATCAGTCCATTTCAATTTAATTTTCATGGTAAAATTTCATAAAACAAAAATTCCGCGAAATGATGTTATTGTCTTGGCATGGCAACGAAACAAGGTGATGTCACAAGTATGTTTTCGTAAACAAAAAATCAAATGTAAATACCGAGCGTTTTAAAGCTTCTTGTACGCCTCAGAACGAATAAAATTACATTGGAAGAAAATATATAAGTGAAAAATGCGATTAAAAAAAAATAATCATTGAATTATATGATATTACTAATATTATCAAAATTGGGTAAAACGGAACAGCCAAAACAATATTGTATGTATAGGGCTTTCACGGTTAACAAAATTACCGAATTTGTCCTATTAGAATCGAAATAATTGTTTTCTTTATTTGCATAGGTTGAATATATATTTTCAAATGTTTTCATTGGTTGAGGACAGACACCCTTGAGATAATTAAATTAATTAATCTTACTTTATCTTCGATAAACCAGAATTATCTCAGCTTAATTCCAGATTATCTAAGATAAACCAGGATTATCTTAGTTTAATTCAAATTGTAAGGTTAGCAAAATGAATAACTAGAGAAAATCATTGTTTATCTTAATAAATTAAGAAAACTTAGATCTATTCAACAAAATTTAAGAAAATCCTAGATTTAGTTGGGATAATCTGGAGATGATGATGGAAGTGTTTAACGACCTTGACTGGCTTTACAGCCCTCGCACGGTCGGTATCTGGAGATTAACTGATTCTGCGAGAAAATCCAGGATTATCTCAGACTCTACAAATATTGTAGCACCATTAAGAATTATGTTACAAATATTTGCATTGGACAAAAATTTGTACATTCAATTTTTAATAAATGAAAAGTCAAACAAAGAAATGTCTTTTATAATTTAACAAATCTTATGAAACCTCAGTACAAAGATGAAAGTTCTTTAAGCTAATGCCCCACATTTTTTTTATTCTCTTTCAGTATTAAAATAGTGGTGCTGAAGTGCTCATTGTCATTGTCATAACAGTGAATGTTTTATTAGTTTTTTATCAAATAATACTAGGGATGACCATCATGTCAAGTTCAACTCGGCAAAGAACTGATAATCGAGTACTCGTTGGATTTATCAAACGATACTTCCAGTACTCCCTCGGAAAAATATCTACAAAATTGGAACACAATTATACGCATTTTACGATTGTGGTAGTTGTCTAATGGGGATTATAGTCAATTTTATGTAAAGAAGAAGACAATGTCCTTACTGGAAACCTATTAGTTGAGTATCATTTTTTGTTTTCAATACTCTGTACTACCGAGCGATATTCAAGTATTTGTGTACTCGTTGACATCCCTAAATATTACACCTACATCTTTTTTCTGTATTTTCTGATATTCTATGGCATCTCTGTAACCAGCCAACTGAAATCTATATGCTTCTTCCACTTCATCTGACCACTGTTTTGCACGAGACATTGACTTTGGTTCTGCAATAGCAGCCATACCAACACCTACAAAACACCAATCTCTAGTTTAAATTTAAAATATGTATTCAAAAAATTAACACAAACTTTATGTACATGTAGCTGTAAATTTTAGTTATAAAGTAAAAACACAGACTTTACCTTATCCACTAAATTTACCTAAAAAAGTAGGTCAGTCTCAAATGGCTGGGTTACAATATTTGTGACTTAATTTTGCTGAAAAAAAAAGTTCCCAAGTCTGGAAAAATGAGAAAAAATCCTCAAACAATTCCATAATAGTAGATGCACAACTTCAACATATTTGCAGTCTTCCTGTGAAGTTTAAAGAGTATGGTTTAATAACTGTAGGAGGAGTTGATAACAAATTAGGTACCCACTTTTCCTTGATATCTGTCAGCCAATCCGCCCAACTTGGCATCACCATACAATAAGCTGGGTTTGAACTTTGTCCAACCCGGCCTAAAATGAAAGACCCTCAGTGTAAAAACTCATCAAAGATATTAGGCTTATAATTTTGTATGTAATTTCAACTGAAGTGTTGCAAAACTTTCTTTGAGTAGAATATTAAAATAAGGAGATGTGGTATGATTGCCAATGAGACAACTATCCACCAAAGTTCAAATAAAGTGGATGTAAGCAATTAGAGGCAACTATACGGCCTTCAACAATGAGAAAAACCAATACTGTATAGTTGGCTATAAAAGGCCCCGACATGAAAAATATGAAACAATTCATTCAATTAAGAAAACTAATGGCCTAATTTATAACAAAACAATTTACGAAAAACAAATATGACAGACGTGAACCAACAACGACCACTGAACTACAGGCTCCAGACTTGGGACAGGCACATAAAGAAAGTTTATATGGCCAAAATGTACATAAGAGATTATCGTTTAGCCAAAACCATCTTAGGTGAACTTTGCCTGAAGGACATGAATCTAGCAGCTTAGTTCCTTAATAATTTCTGAAGCTATCAGCAGCTTAGTTTCTTATTAATTTTTTTAATTTATCAGCAGAAAATTTATGAAATAAACATAAACATATGGAACACACAGGTGACATTGCGGGTCCGAGACTGAATTAAAGTACCTACGCGATCATGTGAAATTCTTTGATAATCTGCGGACCGTTAAATTATAGCTCTATATGGGTTGTGACCCCAACAGAAAAAGAAGGCAGAGTTTTTTTTTGAATCTGGGTCCATTTGCTAAAAATCACATTCGTTCCCTTTCCCTTTTGTACCCCACAAGTTCGCACCCTTTTTAAAGGTTTTGTGTTGAATAATTTTCTAATTGTGTTTTAGTTATTGTATTGCTATAAAATACAAATAATAAGGTTTTATTCATTGTTTTAAAATAAAGTGACATTCTAAAAACATAAACCGGTTTCCTTTTGTGTTTTGTGAATTACTAGTATTTTGATGAAATAAATAATGATATTGCCACGATGATCAAAGGCCAAGTTCACTGAATCATATAAGACTTGTTAAAGAAAGGCAGAAGATACCAAACGGCCAGTAAATTCACAATGACACTGCCATGGCAGCAAGGAATAACACAAAAACCACGCCACAAAGCACATGTTTTTTAGATGTTGTATTTCAGCTATAAATTCCTACAGAGCATTTATGTCCAAGTGTAAAGAAGCTTGAAGGTACCAACAAATATGTAATCATATGCTATTGTATTAGAGATCAAAAGGGCCAAGCTGTTAACAACAGTTATCTTTCATGTTTTTCATTAAAATCTTCATGGTCTTCAATCATACCAAGCTAACTACATGTATTTAACTTTACGCTAAAGCTAGTTTATAACACCAATAATGATTCTGAAATGCCAATTTAGCTTTGTAACTTAACAATTAACAGTTATGATAAATAATTAACAATTTATAATTAATACAGACAACTTTTTCATTACATCCCAAACCAGTTGAAGCTATCTGGAGCCCTGTTCAAATAATGACCTTTATTTTTGCAACACTTGACACAAATAGGAAGTTGTCTAAAGGACTTTTTTTTTCCAGATTAGACTTTAAAGCAATAAGGTGTATTCAACCACCTGTATTTGATAAAAATAGGGTGCGAAAGTGTTAAGGGAGGGAACGGACAAGATATAGGTTTTTAGGCAGTTAAGCTGCCTTATGCGAGCACCCTAGATTTGTGTTCTACCCAATAAATGCTGAAATTGGTGCCATTGTTATTATCTAGCTGGCTATTATGTTATTTATAACTAATTGAACACTTTTTTTATACTTTTAATTCTGGAATACAAAAAATATGACTAGAAAAACCTTAAATGATCGTCGAACCACCCAAAAGTTTTGAAGTTGCACATAGGAAGTAGTGCTCAATAGATATCCTTATGTAGTTTATTATCCCCTGTGCTTCTGGCTAAGATGTCAAAGAACAATTGTATCAATTATTTCATCGCCGAAAATCTCTAATTACAAGTCGTTTACATTTGCCAAATGGCAAAAAGCGCAGGAATATTGTATAACGGCTGTGACTAATATGACACGGAGTTGAAGTCTCAGTTGGCGGTAATTTTAACTTCATCGACAAAACGTAAATCAAGGACGTTTTAAATTTGGTGGATTCTGATAATTCAAAGGTAATTATTATTAATCATTTTATTTGTTTTGTTTGAGATGATTGTGATTATTTAAATCATCTTAATTAAATGTATGCTCATTTGTATTCTTGTTAATATTATTCCGTTCATCTCGTAACCGACCTACGATCAATTCATGCTTGTCAAATCAAGTTGTTGTTATTTATGCAAATAAAACTAGAGATCTGATTGGTCGATGTCATAGTCATTTCAAGATCGTTTCCTTTGTGTTTTTAGTTCAGGCTTTGCCTTTGGTGTTACAGACTGCTACATGTGCTTTCATTTAGCTAAAGGTGTTTCAAACAATATTTAGATTAATACTTTATCAATAATTTGCTAAAGGACGGCATTATCTAACTTCCATCGCATATTTTTGTAAAATATTAAGTACGAATTTGTGATGTGTCTCACACCGTAATTGTTTTTGATTTAAAAGGACTTTTCAATTACCGGTAATGGTGGCACGATAGTATTTCCTGGCCCATAAGGGATAATGAAAGCCTTTTTAGAATTTTCACCACTTTCTAACATTCTACATTCACAGTTAACTGAAGTACTTTCATTTTACTATTCAGAAATGAATTTGAATATGTATCATGAACGTTTACTTTTTTTACAATCTTTAAGAACCTAAGGCCACTAGTGCTTTTTGGTCTTTTATCGTGCAGTGAATACAAAATTTTAAAAAATTCTCAAAAATTCATTTTCATCTGTATGTAAAATTATTTCATATTTTTCTACACCTGATTCATCCCTCAGTTTGGGAAAGTATGTTCAGTTGATACTGTAATTTTTGTCCAATCATAATGTTCAGATACATTGACTTAAGTAGGGTACACAAAAGAGCAACCTAAATTCTGGAATGCAAATACTACCGTGCTACCTTAACCAAGACATTTCAAACTTGAAATCAGTCATGACACCTATGATGCAAAGCCTTCTTACTATGTAACATATTACAATAAAGAATACTAGTCTGCACTTATTTCTTACCCAAAAAAATGAAAGATTACACCCCTACCCCAGCTGGCAGATTTTCACTTTTTTATCATCTTACCATTTTTACTTAAGGAGTGAACAAAATCCAAATATATGATGTTTCAAATCAACACAGAAGTCAAACATGGTGATTCAGGAGAAATTATTGGATTGCCAACTCTATTTATAGTTAATCTGACTGAAAGAAACAGTTTAAGCACCAAATCATGAAAAATGATATTAAAGTCCATTCCACATTTTACAGCATGCCTTACATTACTTTAAGCATTTCCAGATTATGAAGGCAACACAACAAGATTATTTAGATGGCAGTTAACTATCATTCTAAAATCTTTTTGACAATACATGGACTAGAATATATCTCTAAGTTGACTGTTTGTCTATTTCTCATGTATGCATTAAGTTAAATTATGTCCCCTTACATAATCATTTTACCTTTATTATGCTTTTCATTGTCAGAAAATCAAAACAATTAATGACATTTGAATGGAAAATGAATTAACTATTTAATCTTGCTGATAAACAATCATAATTACATTCTTTGTCAAAAAAAATGTCTTGTCAGTGTAAAGAAACCCCTATTGCTATCTCTATTTCAGCCAAATATGAGGGCTAAATGAATAAGTAAGGACCCCTTAACCACTTGCTGGTTACAAAAAAGCTCATACTGGTGTCATGTTACCACAGAACTACAAATTAAAACTAAAGAAAACTAGTAAAGCTGTACTTGTGTGGAAAAAAATAAGAAATTATGCAATTTATTTATTTCGGTGAAAATAATAGGATGTACAGGCAAATAAAATATGTCGCATCTCAAATTCCAGTGGTTGCACAAGTGTCAGACACTGCGAGCATTTATAACTAAAAATGTATTGCAAGTTACATAAAAATAATGAAGTTCTACTTTCTAGGTAAATTTTTACTTTATTACCCACAGATCAGGCAAAATTTGCTGAATCAGCAATTTTATCTCCTAGGGGTGGAATTAAAGGGCTGTTTTTATCATAGTTGCCCTTAATCAACATTTTATTGATAAACTTACAAATTGCATAGGTAAAAAAAAATCCTTCATTGATTTAGTGTAAACATGTATATCCCCCTTAAGGTAGCACGGTAGTATTTCCTAGCCCATAAGGAATAATGATAGCCTTTTTAGAATTTTCACCACTTTCTAACACTGCCAAAAATTCTACATTCACAGTTAACTGAAGTACTTTCATTTTACTATTCAGAAATGAATTTGAATATGTATCCTGAACGTTTACTTTTTTTGCAATCTTTAAGAACCTAAGGCCACTAGTGCTTTTAGGTCTTTTATCGTGCAGTGAATACAAAATTCTCAAAAATTCATTATCATCTGTTTGTAAAATTATTTCATATTTTTCTACACCTGATTCATCCCTCAGTTTGGGA